ATTTGTTCATATTTGCGGGCAAAGTGCCGCAATGTTTTTAAAAAAGACGCGGCATGAAGTTTTACGTTACGTTTGTGTCACATCTTCTTCTGTGAGTCTATTGGCTGGTTGTAAAGCAGAAATCTGATTACTGTCTGACTCATGTAGACCCGGAGTTTCCCCATTATCTGATTACTCAAGAGCATATAAACGCCTCGATCGGATTACCAACAAAATCTGATTTTCTACAGTTATCGGATTATTAAGTGGATGTAAACACACTCACTGACACTGACTGCCCAGCACAGACTAGGACAGACTACACCTGCACATCATTACACTAACAACAACTTATTTACAACAAAAGTCTCTCCTATGGCGAGTGCGGCATCTCCCGTGAGCCTGTGTGCATGGCCACGCCCCCTCCTTTGCTTTTATGGTGAGCCAGTAGTGGGATGCTACAATATCATATAACATACTTAAAGATATTTTCTCGATACATATCACGATACTTTGACACAGTAGTGCATTAGTGGTCCTGTGTTTAAAACAGCAATCTCAATGATTTTCATTTAACACACTGTACTGCACTAAAACCAATTAAACAAGACTAATTCTGTGCTCTTTTTAATGAGCGGTGGTCAGCTGGTCAGTGTTCTTTAAGCATTGACGAGATACAAATATAATATTAAAAAAATTATTACTCGAATATAATAAAATTCCTCATGATAATAAAATGTCGTCATATTTTCCACTTCTTCACATTTAAAAAGAAAGGTGGTTCTTCATGTGTTCTTTAAGAAAAGCAATGGTCATATGCAGTTGAGTTCTATATAGAACCTTTGTCTGCTCAAAGAGATCTTTGCATGGTAAAGTGGTTCTTCAGATTGATGGAGAATGTATTGTACATGGTTCTATATAGAGTTTTCAAAAAAGGTTCTATACTTTCAATCCATACTACATTTGTGTTTGCATGCAGGCGAGGAGATATTTTATTACAATTCAAATTTGATGTAAATGTATTGTTGTGTTTACAGTCCTGTTTTGCAGAAAGTAAAAACATCACATTTTTGCTGTCTTTGACACATCAAAACAAACAGAACAAAGTCAGATGTGCAAACTCGAACCTGTTCATACAGAAGGCTGATTGAATGTAAATGTAACTCATTAGTATCTCGTTATGATTATCATTGCATTACGGTGTAGCAAGGCTGATGGGATCTCAGCACAATGCTAGCCAGCACAGGCATCCGTTAGCTAATGTAACAGAATCAGCAGTTAGTGTTCTCCTCCAAGCGTGTTGAGGTTTGTGACTGGTATTAGCAGCAGTTTGAAGAGATGTAATAAAGCTTCAGTTGTCATGGAGGAAGCTTGTGCCGGCCTTCAACCTCTCAGCTTGGCAGCATGGCGTGATAGAGGGAGATGGAGCTAACAGATGGAATTAGCCACGGCTAACTCGCAGAGTGGTGATACAGCAAAATATAACATCAAGAAATTTTCCCGGTACACAATTTGCATCACAATATTAATTTTTTTTTAGGTTTGATAAGCTGAGGCAGACAAAAAGCCCCAGTGGTGCCACAAAAAATGCTGGAACTAACATTACAATCTTGTTTTTAATGAAACGTGAAGTTGTTCAATGTTTTATAATAATACTAAATAAATAAATATATTATAATACTAATCCTGCCGTGAAAATGTAAATAAAATGATAAAAGAGGAACAAAATTATTATCAATTATTAATCATATTACCCACTTCTTCACACTTAATAAAAAAAGGTTCTTCAAGAGTTCTTTAGTCAAGGGTAGAGATCTGTTTAGAACCATGAGTTCTGTACAGAATCATCTGCATGCTTAAATGGTTGTTTACATGGTGAAATCGCTCTTCAGATTGATGGAGAATGTGTTGTACACTTTTAAAAACGATGCTTCAAGGGTTCTTTAGTAGAGAAAATGGTTCTACATAGAACCATATACACCCAAAGAACCCTTTGCCTGGTTGCATCATGAAAGGGTTCTTCAGATTGATGGAAAATGTGCGTGAATGTGCTATAGTTCTACACAGAATCTGTTTGAAAAGGGTTCTATATGGCACTCAAAAGGGTTCTTCTTTTGTTACAAGCTTGACATCTTAACATTAGACAAACCCTTTTGGGTGCTATACAGAACCATTTTCAAAGAGGTTCTATATGGAACCATCTACAGCACATGCTCAATCAATCTGAAGAACAATTGCATGATGCAAGGAACCCGTTAATCATGCAAAAGGTTCTTAGAGTGTTCATTTTCTTTACTAAAGACCCCTTGAAGCACCATCCTTTTTAATAGTGTATATGGTTCTATAAAGCATCAAAAAGAGTTCTGCTATTGTTACTATGTCAACCTTATAACAATAGCAGAACCCTTTTTGGTGCTACTGATGTTCAAAAAGGTTCTATACTTTCAATCCATATCAGATTTGTGCATTTATGTTTGTATGTAGATGAGGAGACTCACTCGTTTGTTATGAAACATGCGGTTGTTCTGTGTTCTTTAAGTACCAGAAAAGTATCAGAAAAGTGTATTTTGACATAACGTGATGTAATTCATCATTATAACCATAATTATCGTCTTACTGAAAAATACAGTGAGGCAAAACGACAGTAAGAACCTCTCTCCGTCTCTCCGGCAGTGCTGGGGCCGGAAGAACAGGCTGCTTCATCGCTGTGGACATCATGCTGGACATGGCGGAGAACGAAGGCGTGGTGGACATTTTCAACTGCATCAGAGAGCTGCGCTCGCAGAGGGTCAACATGGTGCAGACTGAGGTGAGGAAACGGCCTTTTGGACCATTTAGCCAGTTCCATTTCCCCTTGATTCCCCCATAGCTTTCTTCCTTGCATAGTCATCTGTTCATTAATGTCACTCGCCCACTCTCCCACTCGCTCACACAAACTTATTCTTGACTTTGTGACATCAATCCACCAGATAATTCCTTCCCTAGGTGTCATTTCTGTGCGTAATGGACGTTCTTATTCTCCTAAGCGGCTCCAGATCAGTGATACGATACCCATTCCTTCCTCTGTCGCCCTCCTCTTTTCCTCTCTTTCGAGCATTCTCTCTCTTTGTCACGCTCCCTCTTTCTCTCAATGGAGTCACGCCTACTCTAAGTGCTTCAGCCTGTGAAGATGACATTAGAGCAAGCCTTATATAAATTAAATTGAATCGAAGAAATTGAATTGCATGGCCATTATCAGGCAGCCTGCAGGTTCTACCTCACCTCCCTTCCTCACACGCCGCACCTGGCCCAGAATACGAAGCACGGGGGAGCTGCAGCATGTGGGCACTTTCTGGACTGTGGAATTACAGATTTTGGTGCAGTACGGACACAAAAAAGAGAGCGCAGATCCGGATTTGGCATTCTCAGACAGACTGCATGTAGAAGGAGCTTCCAAAAGATCGCCCTCTAGTGGAAAAGGAAAGAGCCTCTGTGTCACCCAGTGGTTATCTGTAAAGTAGACATGTGAAAGTTCTGATTCATAATTAACTATGAAGGTACACTCTTAAAAAGGTGCTTCAAGGGTTCTTTAGTAAAGAAAATGATTCTTTGCATTATGAAAGGGTCCTTCAGACTGATGGAGAATGGTCTAGAATCTAAAAAACGCTTTCGTGATGCAAAGAACCGTTTAATCGTGCAAAGGGTTCTATGAGTGTTCATGATTCTATATAGAGCCATTTTCTTTACTAAAGAACCCTTGAAGAACCATCTTTTTAAGAGTTGGTATGATCAACAATAATGAAGAATGTGGATAAAAATTTGTAGGCCAAAACTGTGTAGACTCCAGTGTTTCTTCTGAAATGAAGGGTGATAATGGGGCCTTTGTTGCAGTAACAGTCTCTACTCTTCTGGAAAGGCTTCTAGATGTTGGAACATTGCTGTGAGGATTTGATTGAGCATTAATGAGGTCAGGTACTGATGTTGGATGGTCAGTTCTGGATCACAACTCATCCCAAAGTCCATGGCTGTGTTTGAAATACCCTACTGCATACTGCGCGCATACTGATTCAGCCCAAAAGTAGTGAGCAGTATGCAGTATCTTTCTCCAGTACGCCAAAGATACCCAGATCGTGTACTGTCCAGCAAAATTTTCCAGTGCATTATCTCCAATCTCCATTATATACTGCATCCAAAACCTAACCATTGACTTAACCACTTGGATATTTTTAATAGCACTGGATTCAGCTTTTTCTTCTATATCATCATCATCATCATAATCATCATCATCACTTTTGTTTATTTGGTGCCTTTCCCATACTCAAGGATGCTTTACAATCAGAATGTATCAAAACACATAATCAACAATACATAACACAGAACACACACACACACACACACACACACACACACACACACACACACACACTGCACAGTTCCCACAGCTAGGAGGGGGGATTTCACTGACCACAGTATAGAGTCACTTTGCTAGCCTGGAAAGAGTCTTTAGCCGCAGGGAAAATCTCACTCCGCAACTACGGTGTGTCACACGGGCGGCCGGCCCGGGAATCTTTGAAGTCTGAAAATGTCCTTAGCCACAAAGCGGTAGCATTTACCTGCAGCCGAACACCACCAGTCCAGGCTGCATCATAGCCCAGTTGTAGCATCATCCAAACGGCCAGACCAATAAGCCTCTGAGCCACAGTTGGAAAATCTCTCCGGGCCACTATCTCAGTGGATATGATGGCAAACTCCTCAGCCAGCAGGGAAACATCAAAACACACACACAAACAACAGATAACAAAAAAAAACATGTAAAGTGACAGCGATATTGCACCAGTGTACTTACAGCTGAGCACATGCACACATTAAAACATTAAAAACAGCAAAATAAAAGAAATTTGACCACCAACTGCTGCACTCAGTGCCACACTGAAGCTACATCAGCTGTCTCTGCTGGTCCTGATGACGGTTTGATTACTTTGTCTATTTAAAAGTTAAATTTCTGCTCAGTGGATAAAACAGTAACTCAGCCGAACGATACACTCAGATTCGGCTTTCTTTAGGTTCCCATGTGGAGTCACACTGCTTAATATTCAGTCAGACGAGCCCATATTACCAACTACGAGTGTAATGAAGACAAAATGACTCGCAAACGAAGGAACACAGGTTTGGAAACCACACAGGCTTATCGCACTGACCAATCCAAAGCCAGCATTTTTTAAAGTATGTTTGTAGCTTTAAAGGTGGGTGAAAAACAATGTCCTGCCCTCTGTCATGGTATGAGGTCTCTTTTAAAAGTCACACAGGCACATCTCTCAACCAAATATAAACGTACATGCTGAAAAGCAGCTAGCAACAGTTGCTAAGCAGTGATGGAGTGTTAAGGAACATGGGCCGGGTCTTGAGATGGTTCTGATTGGCTCAGTCCCTGACGTTGGCAGGCTTAGTCGCGCCCCTGTCCTGCAGTGTCATATACTCGATGCTGTACTGTATACTACTGATAAAGGGCAAACTGGCCCCCCTTGGCTTCAGCACCCACCTGTGTACCTGGCTGCTGGACTTTCTATCAAATAGACCTCAGTCTGTGCGGGTGGGCAACAACGTCTCCAGTGTCATGTCTTTGAGCACCTGCGTCCTGAGCCCCCTGCTGTTCACCCTGATGACCCACGACTGCTGTGCCAGGTCCACTACCAACCACATCGTGAAGTTGGCAGACGAGACAACAGTAGTGGGCCTAATCCAGGATGACAACGACCTACAGAGAGGAGGTGAACCATCTGGTTGACTGGTGCGAAACCAACAACCTGGTCCTGAAATGTCGAGAAAACCAAAGAGATCATCGTCGACTTAAGGAGGAGCCAACCCAACCACACACCACTCCTCACCAAGGACACAGCAGTGGAGATAGTCAGCAAAGCCAAGATCCTGGGGGTACAGATAATGGACACTTTGACCTGGTCCACTCACACTGAAGCTCTGGTCAAAAGAGCCCAGCAGCGTGGATGAAAAGAGCACCTTTATCCCTTAGAATTAAACAGTCGCTGAATTCACCAAGTGTTGTTGGGATACATCTGGACACATTATGTCCATCTGAATGTCAGTAAAGGCATGTTGATTGAATAATACTAGCACTGCCCTCTCCTGTCGTCTAATCGGACGTCTCAGGTATGTGGCGTATCTAGGCCAGTCAGTTTAAAAGAGATGAAAATAAACTGAACTCTGTAATAGGTTGCCGGGGGCGACTCATGTCCGCTCATAGCCCTCGATTCAAAGATAATCCACAGCACAAAACAACACAAAGCAATTAATCTTTTAAAAGGTTTTTCTGCAGCCTGCTTTCTCTGAGAGTGCTCACCGCAGGTAATGGAGTAATGGACAAGAGAGGTCAGCTCTGCGCTGCTTCGGTTAGGGCAGGATCAAAGGCCCACAATTAACATTCAGACCCTTAAGCCGCGGGCATTGTTGAGTTGAAACGCAGATAATTCCTGCTCTTACTCGTCGCTCGGCTTTCTGGAGTGGACCCTTGATCTCGTTTTTAGGGCCGCTGTTGTAGCAGTGCGGCCCACTGACTTTGCCTTTAGGATACTGTGTGCGGAACGTAAACAGACGGCCTTAAACAGGAGCAGGAATTATGACCTCAGCTAGTATAATTTACAGGTTGAACTGTGGGCTTAATACGGTGTATTTAACATGCGCGTTTATGGAACACAGTCATATTTCATTTATGACCGCCCATAACTTTTTACTGCGGCCTCTCTGAGCCTGAAGAAGCGCTCGTGAGGACGTTTATGAATTATGCATGCTGTCTGGTCTGAGGATTGTAATGAGGTAACCTTTTAACATCAGTGAGGTGTCGTGTTAGCAGCCTTAGCTCAACCAGATTTAACCATGAAATAAATTCACAGCCAGTGAAATGACGCTGAAGGCACGGTATGAATTTTGATGCTGTATTCTTTGTTTTTACAGTGCATGCTATAAAAGCGTATAAAGGTTTAACAAATCTTAACCCTTTACAGCATAAATTATGGAAAAAAGGTGTTTTTATGATGTTTTCTTATTAAACGTGGCATAATTAAAACAGCTCACAACAACGGAACTGAAATATGGAATGCAAGCAGTGGGAGTGCACCGATAGACTGCTAGAGGACAAAGCGAGTCTTAACATCCAGGCATTAACATGCATGCATATAACAGCTGCATATGCATAAATGTTTTAAAAAATACTGAAGAGCATAAAAATAATGAGTAAAACACAAATTAAAAAGTTGAATTGTGAAAAACGGCAATAGCAGTGTTCAGTGACAGAATATTCCTTTACTCCCATTCTATGCTTTGCAGATTGCAGCTCTAGGTTGGATGCTGTTGCCATATGGCAACAATAGCACTCTATGGCCCAAAGTATGTGGACACCCCTCCTAATATGGTTAGGTGTTTCAGCCAAACATGGCACTTTTGTATGATGCCACAAGTCTGCCATGCTAGATCTGCTCTGGTCAACTGTAAGTGCTATTATTGTGCAAGAGAAGCGTCTAGAAGCAACAACACCTCAGCCATTAAGTGGCAGACCACGCAAACTCACAGAGCTCACTCATCTTATGTTGCATCACTCACTATAAGAGTTCCAGACTGCCTGTTGAAGCAACATCAGCACAAGAACTGAGCAGCGAATCTTCTTGAAATGGGTTTCCATGGCTGAGCAGCTGCACACAAGCCTAAGATCACTATGTGCAATGCCAAACGTCAGCTGGAGTGGTGTAAAGCGCCACCACTGGACTCTGGAGCAGTGGAAATGTGTTCTCTGGAGTGACGAATCAGCTTCTCTGTCAGTCTGATGATGAATCTGGGTTTGGTGGATGTCAGGAGAACGTTACCTACCGGAATGCAGAGCCAACAGTAGAGTTTGGTGGAGGAGGGATAATGAGCTGGGCTGTTTTTCAGGGTTTGGGCCCCTCAGTTCCAGTGAAGGGTGATGTTGATGCTGCAGCACAAAGACAATTTACACAGTTATCTGCTTCCAGCTTTGTGTCAGCAGTTTGGGGAAGAGCCTTTCCTGTTCCAGCATGACTGAGCCCCTGTGCACAAAGCAGCTCCATAAAGACATTAATGGCCAGTTTGGTGTGTGGACACAGTAGCATATTGACCATACACCATTCCAGATGAGTGTTTCTATAGAGGTTTGACTGTATATAGACAAAAATACTTTGTTTTGGGTCAAAATAATGCACATTATTGACTCACCAGTGCACTTTCAATATGATATAGAGCAAAGAATATCACAGTCACAATATTTAGTGATATAACCGCAGTCTGATCTGTGTATTCCTGCATGTCTGTCTTTTCTAGGAGCAGTATGTGTTTGTGCACGATGCCATCCTGGAAGCGTGTTTGTGCGGCAACACAGCCATCCCTGTGTGTGAGTTCAGGGCCATCTACTACAACATCAGCAGACTGGACCCTCAGACCAACTCCAGCCAGATCAAAGATGAGTTTCAGGTAAAAGTCTTCTTCAAATGAATCAATCAATTAATCAATCAACGTTTATTTAAATTAGGAGCACATTAGGGGAGACCTTCATTTACAATGTAGCAGAGCCAATGGAGAAATCAGGGACTGAAAAAACTTGATTGTAACAACATACCAAATGCTAAAAATAGATAATAGTAATCATAATAGTTCATTTAATAGTAAAAATTAATCAAATCAGAATAAATCATTCAAATTGCAGAATCAAAAATATTTTAATAAATGGCAAATCAAATAGGGATAAGATAATAAAAGATATAGTTAATAAAATCAATCAAAGAACAGAAAATGTAATACAATAACTCAATAACTGCAGTAAATAAGTGAAAAATGATAGTAAAATAAATAAAAAGATTGATAAATGTAAAACAATAAACTACAGCATACCAAAATCATATATAAAAAGTTAGCTAAAATCAATCAAAACAATTAGTTGTAATTGATTTCAATTAAAATAGTCATAAATAGTCATACACTCCCTGGACTTATACGGCACCATCTAGGGTTTGGTTTTCTCACCCAAAATGCCCTTAATTGAGCTCACACGTTTATTAACAACGAAGATGTGCAACAGAAATGCAGTAGAAAACACACAAACATACAAATGACATAGAAACAAGCAGAGATTTGAGATCATTCTGTCGTGAAATCAAGCGCAGCCTACCTGCACCTCCCTTACATATCATTTACATTAAGCATGCAAGTTTCGGTAGGAAGCCAATAAAATGACAGCATTTAGCAACTCATGAGCCAATGGCCTAGTAGGCGGAGTTTGAGCTGAAGCAGTGAGTGCACGGCTCCCCCTACTGACCAAACTTGACATTCTTAAAATTATGACCTCTGGAAAGAATAACACGTAATAGTTTAACAGTTTGTTTACACCAATGTGCATGTAAAATAATTACATTTTTATACTGGATTGTGCTCAAATTATTATTATTATTATAGTAAATGATTTTCATGTATTGGTAATATAGATGATATTGGTAATAGTTTTGGTTATTTAACCACAAATCAAGCATTTGTTTCAGGTTATAAGACTATTACACTCATATTTACACACATTCCTACTCAGTAGTTTGTTCAGATACGGCAACAATGTTGGCATTTGTGTAGCTCCACTGGGATTGGGAAACACTGAAATAAACCAGCCTTAGCATGTGAGTGATAGACAATCATGGTAGCTTTTAGTCAACGCTCCTAAACTCCCCGTGTCTTTTATTTAATCTCCTCTGAGACGCCTCGGAGAGCAGAAAGGGTGAGATTCACGAATACACCATAATAGCGAGGCTGTAAAAACCATCTTTTTCGGGCAAAACCACCTTCTCCAAATTATTCATCAAAGTTTCTGCAGAGCGTTATGTAAGTCTCGCTCATATTTCAGAGGCGGTTTTGCTTTGGATGTGCCGTTACTTCAATCAAACCGCTGGGAATCCGCCGTGTTTCGAGGATCTCTGGCTCGGTCAATGGCGCATGATGAAGGCTCTGGGCAGATTGAGATGAAGTGGGTGTCTACAAGCGCCATGAGTGAGATATCAGTCAGGAGGGCTTTTTAACGAGCCATTGGCAAGCTGCTAGGACCCCATAAAACCCTTCAGCAGAGCTATTTCTCCTCACGCCACCTTTCCGCTTTGTGTTCTCTGGGAGACAGGTGGCGGCCCCCGGTGTCTGAAGCGGGAGAAGCGCTCAGATCTGTCAGGTGTCTTGTATAAAATGATGGATATCTACTTGTCCTTGTTCACCCCAAGCTCCCTCACTCATTCTCTTGTCTTCTCTCCTCTCTCTCTCCTGCGTTCTGTCGCTCTCTCCGCCTCTCTCTCTCCCTCAGTCTGCCTCATACATAAGTAATAGGCAACCTTCAGTTCAGTAAAACATCTGTGCCGGCTCAGGTTTTGGGCTGTAGAGCGAAAAAAGGGGGTGTGTTTGTTACACGGTTCCGAATAAACGAGCTTGAAATGTTTGGAGATTTTTATTTTCTCCCCCATTGTGAGCGCGGCGGCGGATATAAACAAGTTGGGAAGGTGCTTTGTGAGTCAGCACGTATGAAATTGTCATTCACACATACGTCTCTCTATCTCTCTCTCTCAGACGCTGAACATCGTGACTCCGCGCGTTCGGCCTGAAGACTGCAGCGTGGGCCTCCTCCCCCGTAACCACGATAAAAACAGGAGCATGGACGTCCTGGCGGTCGACCGCTGCCTGCCTTTCCTCATCTCTGTGGACGGCGAGTCCAGCAATTACATCAACGCTGCACTGATGGATGTGAGTTCAAGACCTTTTTCAGTTTTCCTGCCAGTCTCAGAGAAAACAATGCAACAGCAAAATGGAAATGTGAAGACTGGAATGGTTCCAGCAGTCTTCGACCCAATCCCATTTCTTATTTTTATCCCTACCCTTTGTTTTTGAGTGTCACCTTGTCTCTTGGAACTGAGTTACAGGGTAGTGGCTGAGATCTTTCCTCTGAAATGGGACCCTCAAATAAAAAGAGCATCACTTCATTAACAGCTACCAGCGCTGCTCTGTAGGCGACCCTGCCAGTCTGCAGTGACAGCAGAGGAGGGTAAAGTTCAGCTCCTCACTGCTGGGCTTTAGTTACATTTAGGGCATCATATGCCTTCAAAGAGGGGGGCAATTATTTATTATCACCCACCCCTAATTCTTCAGTGATATGAAGCTGAAGTCAGATATTCACCAGATTCTTGTTCGAATTTTCCCGTTCCACCTTAAATGGTGCAGCAGTTACATTCTGGCACTTCAGGCATCAGAACTGCTGGACTATTAGCAATTTTTTTATGCTTGTTATGAAGAAAAGTACCGTAACACATTGAAACAACATTTAACTAAGATAAAACAATGGTTATTGTGATTGTTTAACGAACAAAATTCTCACATTTGTGGGTTTCTTTGGTCTCTTGTGCAGCCATCTTGCCAGTTTTTCTTTTTTTCTCATATCACTCTGTTTGGATTGTGCCTGTTTCTTTTATTTAATCTCCTCTGAGACGCCTCGGAGAGCAGAAAGGGTGAGATTCACGAATACACCATAATAGCGAGGCTATAAAAAAACTCCTTTTGGGCAAAACCACCTTCTCCAAATTATTCATCAAAGTTTCTGTGGAGCGTTATGTAAGTTGTCCATATTTCAGAGGCAGTTTTGCTTTGGATGTGCCGTTATTTCCGTCTAACCGCTGGGAATCCGCCGGAGAGAAGGATCATAATACGCTGAAATGACATTGAACTAAGATAATACAATGATTATCGTAATTTTTAAAAGGAGAAAATTCTCACATTTGTGGGTTTCTTTGGTCTCTTGTTCAGCCATCGTGCCAGATTTTCTTTTTTTCTCTAACACTCCATTTGGAGTCTCTGAAAAACCTCTGTTTGGAGGGTCATGTAGCGCTAACACTTCACCCCACCCCTCTATCTCAACAAGAATCGGGACCCCCTACCCCTAGACGTGAACACTCAGAACAGAGGGGTAGGGCCAGGTGGTAGGGGCGTGGGGTGAAATGGGATTGGGCCTTAGAATGACATCACTGTGACCTGAGCATGGGTTACTTTCATTACACTGCAGCCACTTTGCTTACTACATCACACACTGGGTGGGACCAGGATAATTAGCCCACCAGCAGGCTGTGGTCACATTTCACACTAGTTTAATCTCTGAGGTAAGGCTAAACACTGTGGATGATGGTTAGTTCACTTGCTTGTTGAAAAGTATTAGCCTGGCCAGCTAACAAGTGAACAAATACAGAGACATTATAAAGGAGGAGACGGATCGCTGGTTGAAGATTTGAAGGGGAAGACGGGAAAAGTCTGAGAGACGCACCTGTAGCAGCTGGAACAACATCAAACAAATACATTTTTCATTTTCCATAATTTGAGTCAAACACCACACAATACTTGATGATGTCTGCCAGGTTTTAGAAGTGTTTAATATATGTTTTTAAAACAAAACACATTCTTTACTGTCCCTTACGTTTAAGGCATTCTATTTAGAACCATAAGATACATATAAAACCATTTCATGCTTAAATGTTGCTTTGCATGGTTTGATTCAGGTAGGTACTACACATGTATAAATGGTTCTTCAAGGGTTTTTAGTAAAGGCAATTTCATATGGTTCTATATAGGACCAAAAAGGGTTCTGCTATTGTTACAAGCTTGACATTGAAACAACAGCAGAACCTTTTTGGGTGCTACATTTTCAAAAACACATCACATTCTCCATCAATCTAAGAACAATTTCACTATGCAAAGAATCCTTTTGAGCATGCAAATGGTTTTTTATATATATATATATATATATATATATATATATGCCCATTTCAACTTTGCTGAAATAATCAAGGCCTTCCCTGAAAAAGACGTCGTCTGGATGGCAGCATATGTTGCCAAAACATGTATATATCATTCAGCATTAATGGTGCCTTCACAGATGAGCACGTCACCCATGCCGTGTGCACTAATGCCCCCTATACCATCATGAATACTGGCTTTTGAACTGTGCACTGATAACAAGCTGAGTGGTCTTTAGCCCGAAGGACACAGTGTCCATGATTTCCAAAAAGAATTTAAAATGTTGATTCATCGGACCACAGGACACTTTTCCACTTCCCCTCAGTCCATTTTAAATGAGCTCCGGACCAGAGAAGGTGGCAGCATTTCTGGATCCTGTTCATGTACAGTTTCTTATTTGCGTTTAAGAGTTTTAATTAGCATTTGTGAATACATTGACACACTGTTTTCACAGACAGTGGTTTTCAGAAGTGTTTCTGAGCCCATGCAGTGATGTCCACTACAGAACAGCTCTTGTTCTAGCCGGAGGTTTGAATGTAAGAAAGGAGATGTTAAAACATCACCTAGAACGCTGACGTCCTGCCCTCCGTCCCTCCACTGAGGCGAGCTGACTCTCACACTGCGCTGTGTCCAGTTTGCAGTGAATGTGACTGTAGATCTGCGTAACAATACCGACTGTACGACTGATTACACAGCAGTTCTGTCATGAAAGAGAACCGGCCTAGCTGTGAGAACAGATAACATCTCTACACTCTCCACTCACTGATCACAGCCTTACTGATGAGTTAGCGAGGAGTAAAACGGCTGCTGTTAAACATCTACACAAAAACAGGGAGCACACAAACAGGCTAGAGGACGACTGAAGGAGAGAAACGAGAAGAGATAATAATAAATAACTAAAGCAGCTGTTTTTAAACCTCTTCAAATGTCATATGTCTGTCTGTCTGTCTGTCTCTGTCTGTCTTGCTTGCTCTCTGTCTATATCATTTACAGGTGTACATATAACACAGGTGTGTTTACTGCCTTTTTAGACTGATTTTCATGCAGTTAGTTGCATGCAACATGATTTCTGTGCAACCTTACATAAAGCAGTTCATCTATCTATCTATCTATCTATCTATCTATCTATCTATCTATCTATCTATCTATCTATCTGTCAGTCTGTCTGTCTGTCTGTCTGTCTGTCAGGTCATGTTTTTTTTCCAATATGTTAAACTCAGCAAATAAATAGAAATTGGGCATTAAATTAGCTGAAAACGCCATATTTTAGTGTGTCTCTGTAGAGGACGCGTTGACTTATTTTCACTTAGAAAATCAACAAAGCATGTCAGTTGAGCAGGGGTCCCCAAACTTATCTGTTTGGATCTGGATCTAAATAATCTTCACTCTGTGTAAATTTGGCGGAGAGAAAATGAATAATCTGCGTAGATCACAATAAGAGAAGAATAAATGCTGTACAAGCAGCTGCTTAGACAGCTGTTAGCATTCGCTGCCTGGTTACACCGACTGGTTACAGAAACATTAGCTTTAAGAAACTTGTTTGTTTGTTTGTTTTTTGTTATGGCTCAGAAAACTGACAAAAAGAAGAAATACCAGTCGGTCAGGAAGGTCCTCTTTCCAGCCATTCAGTAAACCATCCTCTGGTTCATTTCCTCGTCCACTGATACACCAACACAATAACGTGAAATGATGTTAGTCGTTTTGATTCACTGTTTCACAGAACTCGTTTCATGAAGTTGAGACAGTTGAATCTGTTGCGGCTGAGTTTCAAACGAGTTGCAGAACACTTTACATTTTGCAGCTGAAGTGAAATTTGGACGTTTTAAGCAAAATGCAAGTTTTAAGCAAATAAAGTTGCATGAGAGTTTCACTGTTTCACTGAAGCCAGCCTTAAAAGTTGCAAGACTGCTATTATTTCATATTTATTTATTTTTTTTATTATTATTTATTTTTCCAGAGTCATAAACAGCCAGCGGCATTCATTGTGACGCAACACCCGCTGCCCAACACAGTGGCTGACTTTTGGAGGCTCGTGTTCGACTACAACTGCTCCTCCATCGTGATGCTAAATGAAATGGATGCTGCACAGGTGTGTGTGTGACCTTTGACCTTTGATCCTGCATCTCTGTACTCACTGTCTATCATTCCTACCACACTGCCAGTGCTGTTTTTTCATCATTTGTTGTTATCCATGCAAGGTTTTTGGAAAAAGTTGGGTTAAAATGGTAAAAAGGACCCATATTCTGCATATTTTGGTCCATTTGTGATGTTTGTGTGGTTTTATGTACCTAAAATAGTCATCATTCATTTTTACATAACAATTTTCCAGCCTCTCTTTATCCCTTAGAATCAAACAGGCTGTATTTTGTCAATGCACTTTTACTGTGGGACTGATATAAGTAAATGGGCTCTGTTCTGATTGGACGTGCCTCATTCAAAAAGCCATAGCATGAGTGGGAGGAGCTAAACTGCTGTAGCCAGGTAGATGCATTGCTTTGTGTGACATCACAAAAACAATTAAAAATGGGCTGCTTTCACAGCTTAGCTTCTACAGAGATTATAGAAACTGTGTAAATGAGTGCACTGCAAAAAATAGTATCTTGTCAAGTGAAATGATCTTAAATCTAGTCGATGTATCTAACATTTCTAATTTTGAGATGGTTGTGCACTTATTGACAGATGATCTAGCTTATTTCTAGACACTTTTTACTTGTTTTAGTTTAGTTGCTGGTTTCAAGCTCATTTCTTACAACAAGCACAATTATCTGCCAGTATAGTGAAATAATATCACTTAATAAAATTACTTAAAACAAGTAAAAATCACTAAAAATAAGTTAAATAATCTCAACAACAGTCTCAACTGGAGAAATATTAGATTTATTGACTAGATTTAAGATCATGTTACTTGACAGGACACCGTTTTTTGCAGTGTGTACCAAGTAGAAGAGCTTTTGAACACATAGCGTATAAAGCGTCACCGTTTAGTTGAAAAGTTCGGTGACTGTGTGAGCGCTGAGATAAGATCCCGCCCTGAAAATGTAAATAAAATGATGAAAGAGGAGCAAAATTCAAAGGAAAGTCTTGAACGAGTCCTGATATACAGGAGTTTTTAAAGTAGTGGACTAAATTACTGATGTTATTGAGTCCGTCTGCCCGAAACTGCCCTCCAGTACAGCATATGAGTATCCATCAATACTGAATTACATTAGCGTCCGCTGATTGAAATGCGTCTGCTCTGAATGCGGTACGCTGAAGCGGAGCTCCGAGGGGTTTCTCAGGGTAACTTTTCACCAGGAGAATCAGTTATTCACTTTCAGCGCATGACCTTCGCTTGTTTTTTTGATTAAGCTGCGAGCGAGCCTGGCCTTTCTTAGATCATTTCAGCGAGATCTATGCCGATTAGGTCCATTTCTCCAGACCTGTTCTTTCATAATTGATGAGTTCCTTGACTTCTTTCTCACATCTCCCACTGATGCATTTTCCCTTTGGTATGTTGTACAACCGTATGACCCGAGCAAAGACGAGGTTTAATTTCTGTGAGATATGCATTCAGAAGGCGGTGTCAAAGGCGATGAAAATGACAAAATGAAAGGAATATCATTGCTTCAGATTTCAGGAAGTGATTCCAACTTTTTATTGATACTAGTCCAGTGTGTGAACATCACAGAGTCATCCAGCTCAACTCTGAATGAAGCATTTCAAACATGAGCCTAAGAGCTTATAATCACGTTAAATATTTAAAAACTAAGATTGTTTTAATATTTAGACCGTAGGACATCAAATGAGAACTCTGTGGATTTGCTAACAATCTGCATTTTGGTCTGGACCATTATTGCTTTGCATTTGAGGATGTTTATGACTCTGTTTCTAATGAGATGGAATAAAAAATCAGTACAGTGAAATATTGTGATAACGCATCAATACATAGAGACCCTAGTAGCAATGTTTATTATTTAATTATTAATGTTTTTAACATGTATTAAGTGCATTGTTATAATACCATAGAGTACCAAATCACTTTTCCGTCTTTATCCACAAGATGGTGCTGTTTCTGTCTGATTAGACCAAGGTTTCTCTAGTGCGGATGGCTGGACAGCGCAGTGGATAATACACTTGCATACGTGCATATAAAAGATTTAATCCCCCGTTTAGGCAGGAATCAGAAATATAATTATAGTATATTAATACAGACTGATTCAGACAGGATTAAATTTACATGGACTCCTGAAGTAATTTCTGGTGATGCACTGAAAAGAAAATTCTTGGCTGAAAACTAATATCAAATACTGACAAAAGCTGACCATAAAGAAAAATATGAAATGCACAAAATACATAAGATAAACTTACTGAAATTATTACAGTATTTGGGCAACAGTATGTACCCCATCCAACATCCTCAGCAACAGGGAACAGATGAGCATCCAACTCAACAAATTCAATTATTTCTTAATGAAGCAGAAGTAAAATTAAGTAATTCATATGTCCTGTTCTACCTTAAATAGTGCTGGAATGTATCTGCTGTACCATTTAAGGTGGAACAGAAAATTAAAAAAAGAAGCTTGTGATTAGAAATCTGACTTTAGCCACATTCCGTAGTGATTCTTTGCTCTGTGTCTGTGGTTTGTGAATGTTTCCATCATTTGATAAACTTAGTGTACAGATGGTGTCAGCGTCGCATCAGCTTTCCTTTCAGTTTCTGCTGTTTTTCTGAATTCTGCTCGTTCAGTCATGTTTTTGGGTGCTATCAAACCTGCAGTGGAGAGGTTCATGGGTGTTGTATCTCCTCTTGATGCTCCACATGAACAGGGATTATAAATCTCGTGTCTGATGTTCCTCACAGAAACCGTGAAATAGTTCAGTAATTAAGTCGTATAGTTAAAATTATTTGTAAAGTCTTTCTCTATTTAATCTTTATTATATTTGGTCATTTTTTTTCTTTTTTAGGCCAAAAAACCAAAAGTGCAGTTTTTGACAAATTTTGGCCATAAATTTCAATGCATCCTTGTAATTTCATCTTTTACCGCTGCAACACTTTAAATGTATTTCCGTCCAGATCGGCCGCATCAGCGTCAAGAAATCTTTAGAGCAAACTGCCTTCTGTTTTTCATCAAACTCCAGATTGTTTTCATCCTGTCCTGATACACATAACTGTGATTTTCCAGGCAGATGTTGCCTTGAGTTGTACAAAAAGGTTTTTGACCGTGGCTACTCACCATGTTTAGTCTTCTTGTTCAGATATCCATATTTAACACTTTCCAAAATTATGAATCAATAAATGCTTTGGAAGAGTGTCTCAACCATTTACTTGACCAGGGTGGTGGAACTTTGTCTCTGTCCTCTCCACACTAGGAGAGCATTAGCAGGAGGAGAAAGAAAATACCGTAAATCAGAAAAGTGAGATTCTGCATGCTGATTAAATAAATGAATATAATGGCAACTACTGGTGTAAAGCAACTTTATATTCAGATGTGCACAGTTTCATCAACTTTTAGATTTCTGGAAATAATGACCATGATCATTGTGACGCGAACATTCGGGATTGTTGAAAATACAACCCACTAGAAACTCGCTTGTCCCACGGTAACTTCATCAGTGTCCAGACGTGAAAGTTTTATCATTCAGGTCAAGACTCCTAACATTACATTCACCTGCCAGAGTAATTTGCTCTGGATAAAAGTATTTATTAAATTAGTAAAGATAAAGTCTGTTTCAACATACAGTGGTGTGAAAAAGTGTTTGCCCCCTTCCTCATTTCTTATTCTTTTGCATGTTTGTCACATTTAAATGTTTCAGATCACCAAACAAATTTAAATATTAGACAAAGATAACACAAGTAAACACAAAATGCAGTTTATAAATGAAGATCTTTATTATTAAGGGAAAAAGAAATCCAAACCTACTGGACGCTGTGTGAAAAAGTGATTGCCCCCTAAACTTAATAACTGTTTCGGCCACTCTTAGCAGCAACAACTGCAATCAAGCATTTGCGATAACTGGCAATGAGTCTTTTACAGCACTGTGGAGGAGCTTTGGCCACTCATCTTTGCAGAATTGTTGTAATTCAGCCACATTGGAGGGTTTCAGAGCCCGAACCGCCTTTTTAAGGTCATGCCACAGTATCTCGGATTCAGGTGAGGACTTTGACTAGGCCACTCCAAAGTCTTCATTTTGTTTTTCTTAAGCCATTCAGAGGTGGACTTGCTGGTGTGTTTTGGATCATTGTCCTGCTGCAGAACCCAAGTGCGCTTCAGCTTGAGGTCACTAACATGGCCAGACATTCTCCTTCAGGATTTTTTGGTAGACAGTAGAATTCATGGTTCTATTTACCACAGCAAGTCTTCCAGGTCCTGAAGCAGCAAAACAGCCCCAGACTATCACACTGCCACCACCATATTTTACTGTTGGTATGATGTTCCTTTTCTGAAATGGTGTGTCACTTCTACGCCAGATGTAACGGGACATACACCTTCCAAACAGTTCACCTTTTGTCTCGTCTGTCCACAGAGTATTCTCCCAAAGGTCTTGGGGATCATCAAGATGTTTTCTGGCAAAACTGAGACGAGCCTTTATGTTCTTTTTGCTCAGCCGTAGTTTTCGTCTTGGAACTCTGCAATGCAGGCCATTTTTGCCCAGTCTCTTTCTTATGGTGGAGTCATGAACACTGACCTTAACTGAGGCAAGTGAGGCCTGCAGTTCTTTGGATGTTGTTGTGGGGGCTTTTGTGACCTCTTGGATGAGTCGTCGCTGCGCTCTTCCAAGAGGTAATTTTGGTCGGTCGGTCGGCCACTCCTGGGAAGGTTCACCACTGATCCATGTTTTCACCATTTGTGGATAACGGCTCTCACTGTGGTTTGCTGGAGTCCCAAAGCTTTAGAAATGGCTTTATAACCTTTTCCAGACTGACAGATCTCAATTACTTTGTTTCTCATTTGTTCCTGAAATTCTTCAGATCGCAGCATGATGTCTAGCTTTTGAGGATCTTTTGGTCTACTTCACTTTGTCAGGCAGGTCCTATTATGTGATTTCTTGATTGAGAACAGGTGTGGCAGTAATCAGGCCTGGGTGTGGCTAGGGAAATTGAACTCAGCTTTCCAAAGATGTGATAAACCACAGTTAATTTATGTTTTAACGGGGGGCAATCACTTTTTCACACAGGGCCCTGTAGGTGTGGACTTCTTTTTCCCTTAATAATAAAGATCTTAATGTATAAACTGCATTTTGTGTTTACTTGTGTTATCTTTGTCTAATATTTAAATTTGTTTGGTGATCCGAAACATTTAAATGTGACAAACATGCAAAAGAATAAGAAATCAGGAAGGGGGCAAACACTTTTTCACACCACTGTATGCTTTACAAATAGCGCCTGCTAAACATGAACTTCAAACTGAATTTTTTGAGAAAATAATTTACAGTCAAAAGTAATGTATCTCAATATGTCATACCACATAGTAACTTCCAGCTCTAGTGTCTAACGTATCTAACAGACTTGCTGTGACTTGTTTCCTTCTCCGTGTAGCTGTGCATGCAGTACTGGCCAGAGAAGAGCTCGTGCTGCTACGGCCCGATCCAAGTGGAGTTCATCTCCGCCGACATCGATGAGGAAATCATCAATCGGATCTTCAGAATCTGCAACATGGCACGGGTAGAGTACTCACACTAACGGACGAGATGGACCATACTGAGAGCAAAGTAGTCTGATGAAACTTGATCTAGTCACCAAAGTGGCAGCTTGTCCATTGATTGGCTGTGTCTGATGTCCTGCTGTCACTCGATCCTCCAGTGATTCACAGCAAGGTGCCGGTAAATGCCTGATTGAGCTAAGCGCCCTCTTAAGAATAACATTAGCTTACAAGCACAACTAGCAGTGGGAGCCTTTTCTGGTCATCTCTCTCTGTAAGAGCTGAAAAGTGGCAGTAGTTCTCTCTCGTTTCGTCCTCTAAGAGGGCTGTGAGGGAAAACTTCTAGAGCTAGAGCTTCAATTCAGGAGCTAAATATCAAAACATGGTCAAAACACTAGAAAAAAACACTAGCTTATGCTAACTGCTGCTAGCAGCCCTATGGGATTGTAGTATTTTTTTAGTGCTAGGCTAACAGCAATTCACATAAATGTGTTTTGGCAGTTCTAGATTAAACACAGAATTCTGAAGCTTCTAAAAGACATTCAGTGTTTTACTTGAAGCTTGTGACAGACATATTAGCATTTATTATATTTTATCTTTGAACAGTTTGACAGTAGAGCTGCCGCTGCTGTTTTCCATTTCTAACAGCCCACTGATTAAGCAGCCCCTTGTATTCAGTAGTCAGTGGTGTATCTAGAACTCCCAGAACCACTAGAGTGATATTTTTCTCACAAAATTGGTCCCACCCATTGAAAATCAAAGCATGATTGGTTGACTCCACTGTCACCTCATAATAATGTTGATAGTTAATCTAACGGTTAGGACTTCTCTTCAGCTCCTGAAGTCCTAACCAATGGGAGAGCAGCTTGGCTATATCTATCTAAATACCACAGAGAGAACAGTCCTGATTTCTGTTGGGCATTTCAAGATTTGTTTCCAAATAAAACTTAACAGTAGCTTAACAATGGAAGCTAATAGTTGCCATTCAAAAGAGTTTTGATGAAAAATGTTTGAACGCTTCAAAAACCTCAGTAATGTAGGCTATTGAAATGGAATTTATAGGTAGTATTTCATTAATATTGATAAAATTTTGTCCCATTTGGATTTAGCTTAAAAAGTAGATGTCAATACCCTAATTAGATTTTTTTTTGTTCTGGAAAACAAAATAAATTTATGCATAAATTTAGTGACAAATTTCCAGAGAGGAAGCCTCAGAGCCTTCTAGGCATTCACACAAAGCCTACTGATTTCTGGGAACTAAAAAAATACATATTTTAATTTTATTTTGTATTAAATAGAGTCATGCTTGCATTGAACTCTGCAAGTATTACAGCACTAATTTTGTTTTATTAGTAAGTTTTGGATGTAAACAAAAGGATGTAAATTCTTGAAACTCAGAACAGAACATCAGCCAATCAGGATTTTTTTTTCATGGTATCTAGGTAGATGTAGCTAAACAAGTTCTCCCATTGGTTAGGACTTCAGGAGCTGGACTGAAGGCCTCACACGTTAGATTAACTGCCAGCATAATTAGCAAGTGACAGAATCTACCAGTCGCGTTTTGTTTGGTGACCAATTTCAGGAGAAAAAATGTCATACGAGTCGTGGTCTAACCAGTGTTCCGGTTAGTTCTTAGGAATGTTAAACAGCGGCGGCAGCTCTATGACAGAACTCTTTACTGAAAGAGTCACTGTAACACTGAAACACACAAGCTCAGATATATGATAATATATGTTACAAGCTTCAGAAATAAATAAAACATATAGAATTACTTTTACAAGGTTCAAATGTCTGTGTTTGATCTAGAATGGCCAAAAAATGTTAATATGAATCAGCATTAGCTTAGCGCTAACATACAACTAGAATCCCATAGTCATAGAGGAGTTCACGTGTTTTTTGACCAAGTTTTGACATTAACGGCTCGACCCTGAAGGCCTGGCTGTAATAGTCACGGTTCAACACTGCTGTTTGCCCTAATCAGTGCAAAACTGAGTAAAGCAAATTCAGTACGAATACCAGGTGAAAGAAAAAGAGAGAATACAAAAGAGACATTTGGTCAATTTTACACCAAAAGGACTCTGAAAATTAAAGCGAATGAGAAAAAAGGGAACAAAACACATCAAATCAGCTTGTTTCAAGCCCAGTCTTCAGTTTCACTTAACACAGCTCACACATCTTTGAACTTGATTAGCTTTGCCTTTCACATATGAGCGTTTGGTTTTTGCATCTTGCTCAGCCGAAGCTGATATAAACGGTGGATGAGACGTTCTTAGGCAGATCAGTGTTTACTTTTTTCCATGTGGGTTAGTTTAGTGCTACATTAGCTCCCATTAGCATTCATTACTGAGGCTCCATATGATGCAGCAGCTGAACAGTGCTGGAAATAGTCATCCCTCCTTCCTCCCTCTCTCCTCTCCTCCTCAACTGCTGGTGACAGACGAGATTTAGCGGCTAGCTAATCAGCGCGGGCGTGCCGGCTTGGCGTGAAAACTCACACCGGCGTCACAAATTTGCCATGAAATGGCTCCATCAGTGCTGAGCAGCGGGTAATAAGGCCTGCGCTCAGCCTCCGCCGCCTGCACCACGGAGCGCTGACGTCTCTGTTTGGGCTACACTGCAAAAAAACGATGTCTTTTCCAGTGAAATTAGGTTAAATGTGTTCAGTGTACACTACAGTTCATAAGTTTACCACATTAATGTCTTTGGCAGCACTTTACAACTTGACTGCACTCTTAAAAAAAGAAGGGTTTTCAAGGGTTCTTCAGTTACGGCAATGGTTCTATTTAAAAATACAGAACCATTTCTTTCTTAAGTACCTTTTTGTCTTGTCATTTTATCTAGTAAAACTTTTTATTTTTCCATTTTAACTTTGTTTTCAGAGAGAAATTGGCTTCTGTAGGTAGATATAATATCATATTTACATTCAAGGACCATCTGAATGATGCATCATGTGAAAAATCATTAGGTGATGTAAGATGTAGAGGTGGGCAGTAACTCATACATTTACGTATTTCCTCTCTGCACGCCCCCTAGTGGCCTTTTCACCAGCAAAATGGAAGTCCACTTGTTATGTTTTTTTAATATAATCAAATCAAATTGTTTAATTCGAAATATAATTCAAATGTAACAATTATTTTTTATTTCTAATTTAATTTAACATATCGTTGCTGTCGGGACAAAAACTTACATCTCCATTGTTGCCATTGCCCAGTTTTTGACATAATTTGTCAAAAAAGGCCAGTTGCCATTTGTTATGTGTCAAAATTTCATGATGAACGGACTAACCGACATGGTCCAAAATTACTTGGAAAACATATTTATCCATTTACTTCCATTAAAAGTTACAAACCTTTTTCCTCGTCCTGTAAAGTTCCTTTTTTGGAGATACGAGGTTTTGTTCTGACAGCAGTGATATTAAAATTCAAAGCTGAACTGAGGCTCCAAAATAGGCTAAAATTGCATTTTACTGTGAAAAAGTACAATTTTAGTACAAATTTGTACTTAATTCAGTGTTTTCAAATGGTGCTTTTACTTCTGCTCAAGTGTATTAGTGAGTAAAGTGATCTAATTTTTCCTCAGGCGCATTTTAGTCATTTACTTACATTGCAAACTGTTTTGAAACCTCTACTTCAAACACAAAAGTATATTCCATATATTTTTACTTATTTATATTATTCCTGGCCACAACCAAAAAATTGAATTATTGGCGATGTTTTCGCTGATACTGATAAAAATGTGGGTTGTCAATATTATCATCCAGCTGATATATCGATAGGACTCTACACATCTTTGGTGTAAAATGAGCTTTTGTAATTGTATAATTGTTTGAATGCACAGAGAAGCTGAAGGTGGTCATGTGAAGACCCAGAGGATGGTGATAGTGAGGATAATGACTCGGCTGAATTTTGCCTCAACATAACTTTCTCTCTCTCTTTCTCTCTCTCTCTCTGTCCCCATCTCTCTCTCCAATTAGCCACAGGATGGCTACCGGCTGGTCCAGCACTTCCAGTTCCTTGGCTGGCCGGCGTACAGAGACACCCCGCTGTCCAAGCGCTCCATTCTGCAGCTGGTCAGACGGCTGGCCAAGTGGCAGGAGCAGTATGACGGGGGAGATGGACGCACTGTGGTCCACTGCCTGTGAGTAAAGACCTTACTTAACAAAACACCCAGACCGACTGTCTGAAATATCCAATTACTAGATTTTATATCGTCAAAGTAGAAACAAAACCTTAAAGTAAACCTCACAGCTCCTAAAGGGAAACTTAATAAGAGAAAGAAAAGATATTTGCAACTTGAACGTATGTTAGTTGAGATTTTTTTTTATTATTATTATTTTGGACCATTCATATTTTCCACTCATCATAAAATGTTCATACAATGTAAAAAAAAAACTCCAGTAACGAGTTATGAGGTTTTTATATGACAGCAACAACATATAAGAACATACAGCATGGTGCAAAAGTCGGAGAGCACTCTTCATTTATTTGACTGTGAGTTATTAATCATTCAGAAGGAGGAGATTAGATGTAAGATGATCCACTTGCATAAGAAAGAAGAGAGTCTAAGTAAAATAAGAAGTTTCCAAAACTGGAGTTCAAAAACTGATTAAAAGCTACAGAGAAAATGAGGCTCCTAACAACCACCTGGAAGACCTGGTCGACCCCAAACCTGCCCCCATCAGATAAACAGCACTTAAAGCTTTCATCTCTGAGAGAGAGGAGAAAATCAAGCTGCTTCAGATCTGAAAACATCCACAGGTGTTTCTGTCCATCCTTCCACTGTGAGAAGACGACTCAGCGCTGTGGGTCTGAAAGGATGTGTAGCTGATCAAGAAGAACCTCACTGAGAAAAGGAGACGGACACATCAAACAAAGAAGCTGAACGATGGACTGACCACCCCAGAGTCCAGACCTCAACACCACTGAATGTGTTTGATTACTTCAGAAAATGATCAACCAGCTTCTAAGACTGAACTTTGGAGGTGTGTCTGCAGATTCTTTGAGGAGCTGAAAGTGAGTCTCCTGAACAGAATGGAAGCTGGAATAAAGGGAGAGAGAGACTCACTGAGACTGAACAGCTGAGAGTAGATTCAGCTGTTGTGTGTAATTTTGTACCTGAAGGCTGTTTTTCTGGGTGGTCTCTGACTTTTGTACCACCTCCATCAGCAGCTAAGCAGAAGGCCTCGTCCTTTCCCACCATCCTCATGCTTTCTTCCTCTCTTTCTCTCATTTTTCTCCATTCCTTCCTTCATCTCTCTCTCCTAATTCCTCTCTGTTTCATTTCTTCGAACACACAGAAACACCAGAGCCGAAAACAAATGAAGCTGAAAATTAGCGGGTCTTGGTGGGAGAATCCGTGGCTGATTTGTGGAGAACTGCTTCGGCGGTTAACACAGTGTTGATTAGTCCGTGCCATGTTTTGCTCTTTTATTTCCCTCCAAAACACAAAAACAACCGTGTTTGTAGCAGCTCACTGATGCCAGTCCAATCAGACTTACATTGATTTCCGGCAGGTCCTGTGGGGTGTTTTGAGAAATTGGTCAGGCTGGAAATCCGATGTTGCACTTTGTATGGCAGAAAACACAGCAAGGCTAATATATATGCAGAATTAGATTACTTATATAGATTTGGTTCGGAAAAGGCATGTTCACTATTGACCCTCATTACTAGTGTAGTGGTGCGTATACACAGGAACACAGCGCATACCAGCTCTGATGAGACTGACGTACTGTGTCAAAGAGCCTGATTGATATATTGGTTGGCTGATTATATTGACTGATATTAACAACTTTTGGTTTTATAGGTATCGACAAAAATATTTTAGTCACATCAGTCAGTAAAGCACTGTTTAACTAATATATCATCACTGTTGGGCAAAAAAACTCGCATCTCCATTTTTTTTATGTTTTTCATGCCTTGATATGATTTGAAAAGATAAGCTTCTGTTTAAACTGTGTCAAAATTTCATAAAATTTTGTTACATAAACTTACATGTAATATTAAGAATATTTTGTTCCTCCTCCTGTAAAGTTATTTTTAGAGATGCAAGGTTTTGTTCAGACAGGGACGATATATATTTTTAATATTAAAACATATTGCTCGATATTTTCAGATTTTTTGCCACAAGAGTTTTTTTTTTGCATAATTCAGGCCCTACCATACATAAACAAAGCATCTTCTGCATTTTGTGGTTGACTTTGACCTTGAGAACAATGACTTTACATTCATTACAGTGTATAACTCGTGCTTTCTTTCTTAGGTTTCATTGTTTTCTGCTGTCATTCTTATTTTCAGCCATTGTGCTCTGATAATGTTCAATAATACAGTGCTAGACAGCTCAGTAGCTAATCTCCATCAGTAGTATGCAAATTAAGTAAATACATCAAATGAAGTCTTTTGAAGATTTGAATTTATTAAAAAGCATTACAGCTATTTCTGACCATACATATAACACCTTAACTCACATTGCAAATAAACAAATTAATAAACCAAACAAATACATACATTTTCTTTTAACTTTCACACCTCATATATGTGAATGTGTAATGAAGGAGGTATAGAAGAGAAGAGAAAACTGACAGAGATGAGAGTAAGGCTGGACAGGGCGCTACAGAATGAATGATATAGCCATGTGCAAAAATATAAGCATTGATAACGTAAAAATGGCATTTTTCATATAATTAAATAAATATTATTAACCATACTGGAAAAAAATATTGTTTTTTTATATTAATATTAATATTATTGTGTGCTACAAATTTTGCTTAAAAACAGGCTAGATTATCTGCCAATATAGTGAGATCATTTTATGCAATAAAATTACTAAAACACATAAAAGTATCTATAAATAAGTTGAATAGTCTTAGATAAAGCTTACAGTAATCTAAACAGGAGAAATATTAGATTTATTCACTATATTTAAGATAATTTAACTTGACAAGACACCATTTTTGCAGTGTAGAAGATGGTAAATTGTGGCCATGAAGGGATGAACATGGTCAGCAACAACACTCAAGTAGGCTGTGGCATTAAAGCAATGATTGATTGGTATTGACAGCCCAAAGTGTGCTAAGAAAACATTTCCCATCCCATTACACCACCTCCACCAGCCTGGACTGCTGACACAAGGCAAGTTGCGTCCATGGATTCATGCTTTTCGCACCATATTCTGACCCTACCACATGTGTGCTTGAGCAGAAATCCAGATTCATCAGACCAGGCTTTATTTTCCAGTCTTTAACTGTCCAGTTTTGGTGAGCCTGCGCCCACTGCAGCCTCGGCTCTCTCTGTTCTTGGCTGACAGAAGTGGAACCAGACGTGATCTTCTGCTGTTGTAGCCCATCCGCCGTAAGATTCGACATGTTGTGCATCCTGAGATGCTTTTCTGCTCACCACAATTGTACAGAGTGGTTATCTGAGTTACTGTACACTGTTAAAAATGAGAGGTCAGCTCAATTCAACATGACATAATAACGGATTACATGGCTTTTCTTGAGTTGACTCAACTTGAGGACACCAGAGTTCACACAAATCTAATTTCTTAGTTGAGTCAAAAGTTCTCTTAATTTTTTAGTTCTGCATCACAGTGAGGAAAATAAAATAAACTTGCTTTTTTACTCAACTTCCCCACCAGCCAGGACTCTTTCTATCACACAGTCCTACTAGACATATTTCCTCTTGGGTACAGACTTATGGGGCTCAAACTCACAACCTCCTGCTAGGGTGACAGCTTAGTCCACTGCGCCACTCAGGAACACATGAAAGAACTCAGATTTTGTGTCTACAAATGTTTAATACGCTGTAGAAAATACTTGTTATTTTAACTTTAAAGCTTGGTATCGTCTCATGTGGTGCAACTGTCTAATAATTCATCTCAACTTCAGGAGGTTGTGAGTTTGAATCCTAAAAATACCATAGCTGTCCATATCCGGAAGCCCAAGAGGAAAATATGCCAGATGGGACTGTGTGATAGAAGGAGCGCCAGCTAGTGGGGAAACTGAGTAAAAAAACACATTCAGTTTTGTTTATCTAACTGAGATGCAGACCTAGACACCATAGCTGGGAGAATTTTTGACTCAACTAAGAAGTGTGAGTTGTGTGAACTTTGGTGTCCTCAAGTTGAATCAACCCAAGAAAAGCCATGTTAATTATAATCAGTTATTATATTATTTTAAGTTGAGCAGACTTCTCATTTTTTACTGGGTCAAAAATGCCTTTCTATCAGCTTGAACCAGTCTATCCATTCTCCACTGACCTCTCTCATCAACAAGGCCTTTCCGTCCACAGAACTGCCGCTCACTGGATGTTTTTTCTTCGTTGCTCCATTCTGAGTAACTCTAGAGATGCCGTGCATGTGCACAGACCTCTTCACACAGAATACAGTGTTTGAGATTAGCATCACATTTTGCAGAATGTGCTTCTGAGCCAAGGACACACAGCGATCTTTTCATCCCGAACTTTCCGAAGGCGTCATGAACCACAGCCTGGCAAACACAAAAGATCCAGGCAAAATCAATCCGCTAACATCGTCATTATTCACCCAGCACTGTCTGAGCCTTTTTTTTAATATATGACAACTCAAAAATGTGATTCTCCTGAATTATAACGGTAGCAGGTTTTGTTCTCCGCTGCTTCCCTGTAATCTGTTCACCTTATTTCATTACTATCACTGCCTGTAGAGCTGTGTTCACACCATTAGTGTGAATGTGTGCTGTAGACAAGTGAGAAATTATTGAACAAAGCTGCGCTGAGGAAAAGAGAAATGATTACCACCGCAAGGTTGGCTATTACAGCTCACACTGTGCATTCAATACAATACATTTCACTACATATTACGCTGCTGACAGGTCTAATGTTTTGTCCGATATAGCCGGAGAGGACCGGCCTGAGGTTGGTTTCGCCTCACTAGTCAAAGTCTTTCTTCCCTGCCATGTTTTATTTAGCAGACGCACTGCTCTGCTTTGAATCCACTAGTTGGGGAAATTGTCAGAGGGTACTCTCTGTGGTAATGAGAATGACCGGAATGCTAAAGCGTTGCATAATACAGATATTCGTGTACTTACAAGGATTAGGAAGCAGCTGCAGTGTTGATGGGCAGGCTGGTCATTAAGGTGTAAAGCTAATAGTATGGTCTTTCTTTTTTCCCCTTTATTTTTCCCTAATAAACTTTAGCCGAAGGCGAACAGCGCCATCAAACTCAGCATGGAAATAGATGCGCGGTTTGAGTCATTGTTCAGAGGAGTGAAAATGCTCCATGGCCTGAGAAGGAGAATGTATGGCGTGCCCTGTGAGTCATGCGACTCTCAGAAACCCACATGTAGCCCAGCGGAACCTGTGGAGGAGTGTGGTTATGTGCTCTAACGTCTCTCTGACATCTCTCTCCTCTCTGAAGGACTGGTGGAGGGCGTAGCGGGACGTTCTGTGCCATCTGTAGCATCTGTGAGATGATTCAGCAGCAGAACATCGTTGACGTGTTCCATACAGTGAAGACGCTCCGAAACAACAAGGCCAACATGGTCGAGACGATGGTAAGTGATATAAAAAGTAAAATGAAAACGTGAAAAGTGAGAGATTCAGAGTGGTTTGGTGTGAAATGGTTCATATTTCTTTACAGTGGTGGTGATGGGAACCAGGGGTCGCCATGACTACAACACAAATATAGACATTTTATTTACTATCCAGAACCACCAGTGAACCTACACGAGTCTTCTGAGTTTATATGGAATGTTGACGATGGAAAATAGTGGAAAATCTGAAAAAAAAAATCTTTTTTTGGGGACTATTTTGTCTCACACTGGATTTTCAAAATACTTTTTAGTCCAAAATCTTCTGAAAACTACCATAAAAAAGTGTCTCAGTCATCAAGCTGTGAATTCATAACCATTTCATGTAGGAACTTTCTGTGAGGGAGCTTTTAGAGGTGGACGTCTGGTTCCTATCACCACTGTGAACAGTTCTGACTCAGTAAGTTTCTCTAGGGCTCTACTATTAATAAAAATCTGTAAAAACTAAATCAAAGCTTGACGAAGAAAATCAGTGAAAAACGTATTCCTCTAAAATACTGATAAGTATAATCTAGAGGGCCTTTTAGCATTAAATCATACCTGCCAATATCAATGCTGGCATTTTTACTGAAGTATTATTTTAACCATCATAAGTGTAGCTACACTGTAAAAGAACTTCAGTAAATTATTTGCTTCTAGTTGCGTTGCTTTCACAATAATTTGCTGAACCATATAACAGTAAGTAACTGAACCAACCAACAGTAAATAACAGTGAATTAACTGCATACTGGGACTTCACAGTCACGTTGACCATAAGATTACTGTGATGTAGATGATTCTGCTGTACACTTACAGTAATCCTGTATTTTTACATAAGAACTATAAAAGTAATGCAACTCAGTAGTCAGTAATTTATTATAAATTTACATGTGGAAAAAAAAAATACTGAGACATATAAACGTTATATTTTTTGATAATTTAGATAAAAAAAAGATAAACTAAAATAAAAAAAATCAAGGAAGATATTTATCCACTGTGTTTTGCACTGTATATGCACAGAATATTGAAAGTAAGCACTTTTAAATTGGAATACACAATAACCAGACAATTTTGCTTATAAAACTTGCTTATAATTTGCACAGAGATGATCAAACACTCTCATATGGCAATACCAATAAAAATAATTTTTTTTTCAGTGCTCCAGCATTTAACATTAAAAACAACCAAACAAAAAAAGCTCTAATATAAAACTGTGAGTCTTTAAAACACTAAAATCTAAATTGCTAGAATAATAATGTTTTTATTAATATGTTTGCACCTTTTTAACTAGGGCTGAACGATTTGGGGAAAATATCTTATTGGAATTGTTTGACCAAAATAGCGATAGCTATTTAATATGCGATTATTTTCAATAAATTTAGGTTCAGGCCTGTATTTTGCTCCGAGGAGTTTAGTATATCCACCTTTTCTGGCTGGAGGCTCGACCGTGAATGTAGTGACCCAGGCTGCCAGTATGTTGTAATTGTGATGTCACAACACACAGAAGTTTGTGTGCCTCTGATCGGTCTAACTCATCTACAGGCAGTTCACAAGCTCTGTGTTATTAGGTTCAGTTTTCCCACTTAAAACTGAAGACAGCGTGTTTGATCATGTAAGCTATAATAAAAATAAAAAAAAATGCGATTTGAACATTGCACTCCCTTAAATTGCAATTTCGATATAAGAACGATTTATCTTTCAGCCCTATTTTTGACTCTCAGTTGCTGCCATATCCCATAATACTGTCCCGCACAGCTCAACATCATCCTCATGTAATTAATTTGCTGTGTTACTACAGGAGATCTCTTAAGATCAGTTGATTTCACAGCAAAATGATGAACACGATGTTTTGCCGTTTGTGAAATCCTGGCATTAATTAACAGTGTAGACACATTAGCTACACTCAGTTCCAGTTTCGTATCTGTATCAACATTAAAGTGTTTTGCTTTCAGTTCCTCAAAGGAAATCTTGCCATAAATGGAAAGTGAGATGTTTCTCAGTATTTTAATTGTCTTGCCATGTTTTTTCTGACTGCTTTGTACTTAAGAGCTGTTCATACACATAAATCATTCTGAATTTGGCTCATAAAATACAGATATAAATCGCTCAGCTGTGCACACAGAGTTGTGCGGTGCAGAAAGTCAGCTGTAATTATCATTAATTATGGAAAAGAATGCCGAAATGGGTTATTTTCTACATTGTTTACTGGAGCCGCACATGCTGGGGAGCAACATGTTTACAAGAACATTCAGTTTAACTTACACAGTGTTATTCGTGTTATTGATGTAGTTCTCAGTCACATACAAAGTTGGGATCCTCAGCAGTCACCGGATTAAACGATTAATTAAGTAATAAGGGGTGTTCAGGAGGGGTCGCGTGTAATTTCAAGTAGTTTTTGCATAACATGATGGTTCCCTGAGCGTCCTCAGCCTGGCTGTAGAGAATAAGAGCCGCTTTTCAGCTCCTGAAGAAGCTCGGATCCAGAAAAAGGAGGTAATTAGCCCTCTCTCCTTCTCGCCCCGGAGACTTGCAGCTGTGCTTCACATCACAGCTCCTGCCACTCCAGTTCAGAGAAAAGCGACTTGGGTCTAATAGCCGGCCATTCCAGGTGCAATTAGACATCTGTCCTTGCACCTTTCTATAGTGGTAGCACTCAAACCATTAAGCTCAATTTCCCTGCAAAATGCTGCAGAACCGGGCAGCTGTGTACCAGGAACGGGCGGAAAGTTAAGGACAAGAATAGAACCCTGGGGTCCGACATAAGGACCCAGACGACACTGTCTGTTTTTTCTTTTAAGAAAATCTTAGTTGTTCTCAGAAGTCGTAGTTTTTGTCAGCGGTCGTGAGTATTTCTCATTTCTTGACTCAAAGATGGTTCTTCCAGTTAAGGTTATGGTTCTACTTAGAACCATGAGTTCTGTAGAAACTTTTGCATGGTTAAATCGTTCTTTGCATGGTGAAATGGTTATTCAGGTGAATGTAGAACGTGTTGTATATAGCTACAAATAGCACCAAAAAGGATTCTGCTATTGTTACGATGTTAAGCTTCTAACAATAGAAGAACTCTTTTTGGTGCTATACAGAACCCTTTTCAAAAAGGTGCTAAATGTAACCATATACAAGACATTCCCCGTCAGTCTGAAGAACAATTTCACCATGCAGAGAATCATTTAATCATGCAAATGGTGTTCATGGTTCTATGTAGAACCACTGTCTTCACCAAAGAACCCTTGAAGAACCATCGTTTTTAAGAGTGTACTTTTGAATTTTTTAGAACTTTCTGGAGGTCCCACACTGTTTCTATCAAATAAAGCATAAGAAATACACCGATCAAGCATAACATTATGACCATTATGAACAGAGCAGGTACTATTTGGGTGGGGGATCATTCTCAGCACTGCAGTAACACTGACGCGGTGGTGGTGTGTTAGTGTGTGTTGTGCTGGCACGAGTGGATCAGTGCTGTTGGAGTTTTTGGGCGCTATATAGAACCCTTTTGAGTTTTAGGGCGCTATATGGAACCCTTTTCAAAAAGGTTATATATATAGAATATAGAATAATATATAGACTAGAGTTATGCTAGCAAAGTGGGCTCATTCAACTCAAAGACTGCCTTGCGGGAGGAGCCTTCAAGATATTTCGTGTTCCTTCTCTTTCTAATTCAGCCATCACCTATAAATGTGGATTTCAGTAGATCTTGTCATGCATTTGTAGATTAAGGTTCAAATCAAGCTCCATTTTAGCTGTTAGCCTCGTCTTCGCAAAAATAGATAAGATAAAGGGAGGCACGGTGTTCTGCAAAGTCGAGGTCAGCTTCTTTTTCTTTTTCCACCTTAAATAGTGCAGCAGTTCGAACAAAAAGCTGGGGAATAAGAAAATGGTACTAATAAGAAAATGCTGTGCTATTTAAGGTGGAATGGGAAAATGTAAACAAGAAGCTGGCAAATAGGAAGCTGACTTCAGCCCCGTGCGTTTTCTATTATCTGGTTTTGTTATTCCATTACTCAGATGCTGATTCGAGCAGGGCTGCTGTTACTGAGGAGCTCTGAGTTTGGAGAATTATAGGAGGTGATTCACTCTGGAATTATGACTGATCAGACTGTAAAAACTACAGACATGGCAGATTCGTACTGGATTAAAATCAAAACGCTCATCAGTAATCACTCAAATTACAGCTCGTCGCCAATACTAATCCAGCTCGAATAGGGCTTTAAACACCACCTGCTGTATCTTATACAATGTAGATTGAAATACTAGAAGATATTACTGAATAAAACATCTGTGTATATGAGAAAAGGATCTTGCATCCACAAAAAGACCCTAGGACAAACATCCTTTACCATTTTGTCATTTTTTTCATTGTTTGGCCTCGAAACAAATGGAAAAAAGGCAAAACTGCAGACTCGGTTGATTTTTTTTTTATTTTAATTTTATTTTTAATTTTGAATTTAATTAGGTTTTTAATGCTGTTTTCAACCGTTTTTCTATTCTCACTTTTTTTTTAAACAACTCTGTATTTTCTGACTCTGTATTTTCTCTTTTGTAAAGCACTTTGAATGACAGCAGTGTCTGAAAGGTGCTCTATAAATAAACTTGCCTTGCCTTACAGAACGTAAAGTCAAAGTAAACTGAATGTATATTTATGAAGAGAAGCTTTGCAGAAGGCCGTGTGCTTCAGAAATCTGAATTAATCTTTCTCCATTTGTGTTTAGGAGCAGTACAAGTTCTGCTATGAGGTAGCTCTGGAGAGCCTCAGCTCCTTCTGAGTGAGGGAGAAGCCAAGAGGTGAAGAAGAGAAAGAAGAGAGGAAGAGCAGACGCCTCCTCTTCGTCTGAACGCCACCTTTCAGACTCCTCTGGGTGCCTCCCTTTCTCCTGTTAAGGACGCAGGAGGCAGAAACAGAGAGAGATCACACCCTCATTGGGATTTGTGTAAAGTATTGTATAAAGAAGTTAAGAATGAAAAAAAATACAAAAACAACCTCTATTGGCCATTTCTCTCCATTTATTTTTGTCAATGTCCAGCATCGAAGCCTGAATCCTGGACCGTGAAGTGATCTTGTACAGTTCTTTTCCTATTTCGATATATGCCTTGAATGTTATCCCATTAATGTAGAGGAAAAAAACGACACAGAAAACGGTGAAAAAAAAATCTTTCTATATGCCAGCTGAGGAGAACCAAATAGACTTTTCCTAAGCTTCTGTACAGCTTCTGAAGAAAGACGAGTCCGTGCTTAAATGAGTTTGAAAAGAAGCTTGATATTTTTGTTATTCTGATGGTTTTCGTGGTTCCTGTCTCTTTCGTGCATCCTCACGCTGTCTGCTTTATCACGGACACTGAGAGCCTGCAGACGTCGCAAGTGGCAGGTTTTCAGCTGAACTCTCTGTCGAAGGTTGGACCTTTTTGTTTATAGCTCGAGTGCGTTCTCAGCAGCTGTAGCTCCGTTACTTTTCCGCTGTTTGTTCCTTCTGGGGACTTCTGTTCTGGTGTTACGGGAGTGACGTAAACAGTGAAACGTCAGTTTGACTGTTTCTGGAGAGTCTTTCATTGAATCATTTGCACTTTACTTTGCATGTCTTTTACCTCCAAATCCGAAATGTATTCGTGGATCTTGTTGATTTGAAGTGCCATATTCGACTGCAACCAAATTACAGATCATGGGACAAATGTGGAAACTTACAGACAGGTGGCAAATTAGAGGTAAAAACTAAATATACTACTAAGTTGGGAAACATAACCTGCTTCCAGCATGATACAATAAACTCTATGGGGATTAAGGGCATTTTCTTCATTCTTGTTGAATTGTTTTGCTGCTTGAAATGGGTTTACCAGAGTCACAAAAGTAGTGGACTGTATAAGTAAAAGAGTAGATAAATGTTCTCCTCATTGCTGTTTTCCAAAACTGCTGCAGCAACTTTAGCGGACGCAAACTTTTCTACACACCTCTCGCGTCTGTGTCTGAGGCGATTGAATGAAAAATGAAGTGTTTCCATCATGATGTGTCAGTCCTTGGTGATTTCCTGAGTGTCCATTGGTCAGTTTCAGACAGAATGTAGAAGGACACACGAATCCACCAGCTCCACACGGTGAGAGGCAGATGACGTGTATCTCAGCCCCTCTTCATAGGCTCATAACTCCGGATGTGAGTCTCGTATGATCTCATGATAAGATGGAATGGAAAGGGCGACTCTACAGATTCAAGAAGTGTTTGAACTGGATTTCTGCGCTGGATTATCGCAAAGATATTAATAGAAACACTGAGAAAACATTTAATTTGACACGTCGGCATATTTGTCAACCCCAGAGGGTTAAGAAACATCCTACCATGCTCTGTAGCCGGCAAGAAAAGTTCTGTCCTCGCAGGAGCTTCAGTAATAAAGACTGCTCAACTGGCCCTCAGTGTTTCAACAGGAACAGTGACTAAAGTGACCTCTGCTTTTAGATCCGTGGGAAAGACATCAGTAAAAAGGGCTGGAAACTTGAGCATGATGCTCGTACATTAGAAGAGCTGAGAGAAAATGTCAACGCCAGCAAGAACAATCCAACCACAAGTACATAAAAGAGGATATTTTAGTAGGGCTGCAGTGCAGAAACCCCTCATTACAAAGACCAGTGACCATCTGAAAGGTCAGTGGTGTAAAAACCATCAGCACTGGTCTATAGAGATGTGGAAACAAGTAAAACAGTCAGGTGAGTCACTCTTCACCAAATTCTCCACAAGTGGGCGAGTGCATGTGTAGCATACACCAAGAGAACAGTACAGGCTTCAATGCCTACAGCGAAGGGGGTTGGTGGGTGAATGAGTGGAATTAAGATTATAAAAGAAGTATAAATTGATATAAATCACATGCTGTGGCCTTCACAGTCACCAAATCTCAACCCAGTTGAACACCTATGAGAGCGACACGTTTGCCTGCATCCTCCACCACCATCGACAAAACACCAACTGAGGGAATCTTTTGGAAAAGCTTCGGTTTCAAAAACTTGTAGAACCTACGCCACGCGGTTCTTTACACTTCATGTTGGCTTTTCCTTTAATTTGTCACCTGTCTAAATTTAATAACACCAATGCCAGTTTAAAACAGGCACCGAAATGAAAGTTTGCGTGATGTTTTGGTCGAGAAGCTTTCTTTTTCCCTGAGCGTACTGACAGACAATCCCTGGTTGTCTTGATTTTTTCATGTGCAAGCGAATCAGATCTTTAGGTCATTAAGTGTTTTGCACGAAAACTGTGACTCTATTTTCATTTTTTTTCTACAGTACTTCGCAGAAAATTGCCAGAATGTTATTTCTTGTCATAAACAATGAAGGAATGACAATTTCCGCCTAAAGTTGAGTCAGTATGCTTTGTTTGGGCAGAGAAGAAATTAAAAAAAAGAAAAAAGCTAAGTTATGGTTTGACAATGTGAATGATTTTGTTTTTGTTTTTTTTGTTGACCTTGTTGCTGAAGGTTTTCATAACTTCACTGTGTTTATTCTCTTTTTAGTTCTCTGCTTTTATTGTATTTGTACATTTTTATTTGTCATTTCTTTGTCTAGCGAAGTGATATTTTAGACTTGGTGATTCAGTTGCCATGGTGGTTCTGTTGTTCGAAGTTGTGATAACACCAATAAAGGGACCAAAATGTTGAACGGCAGTCTTGTGTAAATGAATTTTTTTCAGGGACATCAGGAGCACTTAGGCTAGGTACAGAAATATGCCCTATACTGGGGTCAGCAACATGTGGCTCTTTTACTGCCCCCTTCTAATAAAGCCTTAACAATAAATTGTCTTAAAGGCTGGAGTTAATGTATAACTGCTGATTTACTAACCTTTAACTGGTCACATAGCAATGCAGACAAAAATCTCACCTAGTTAGTTGCTAACGAAATGGCAAACAAGAGCAGGATTCAAGACAGACATCAAAAATTTAGAGACGAATGTACTCATTTGCACTTATATGCACTCCAGCTGGTTTCCAGATATGTTTAATCTGCAACGAGGAACTGTCAAACACTAAAAAGTCGAACGTTGAGAGACATTTTACAAGAAACCATTCTAGCGGAACAGTATCCTGCTGGAGATAGCTGGGTTAAAGCTTAAAGCAGAGCAAAGTAAGTCTGTTTTCATTTAGATTTTATAGCCTATACTAGGACATCAGCACAAACCGAGACATATTTACAGCCAAGATGGAAAAATGTTAAACCAATAAAAGGGACAAAAGTTTTGGAGTTTGCTGTTCTCCAGCGGCGTCCAAAACACAGCATATCCAGTGCACTGTTACAGTGCCTGAAAACCTTCAAGGGAACATTTGCAGGGGTTGGTGGGTTCAAGCAGCTGTGAGGTTATGAGCTGTTGCTATACACTCTTAAAAAAGAAGGTTCTTCAAGGGTTCTTTAGTGAAGACAGAACCATTGTATATTGTATATATAGAAACATTAACACCAAAGAATCATTTGCATGCTTACATGGTTGTCTGCATGGTGAAATGGTTCTTCAGATTGATGGAGAATGTGTTGTATATGGTTCTGTGTAGCACCAAAAAGGGTTCTGCTGTTATAACCCCTTTCAAAAAAAAAAAATCAATATAGAACCATATGAAACACATTTTCCATCAATCATAAATCAATTTCACAATGCAAAGAACCATTTAAGTGCGCAAATGGTTCTTTAAATGTTCATGGTTCAATATAGAACCATTGTCTTTACTAAAGAACCCTTGAAGAACCATCTTTTTAAAGCGCGTACTTTTGACCTTTTTAGAACTTTGTGGATGTCCCCTATACAGTAATTAAAATGTGCATTTGTTTATATCGAACAAAGCATAAAGATGACTTTTATGAGAGCTCACACAATGGCACTAATCCAAAGTAGGGGCTTTTAGAGAGGGGATCATTTTTGTCATTTTATTTTGAGCAGAGGGCCCCATTCTCCTCCATTCCCACCTCAAATGCAGACCTGATTACAGGGAACAGAAATGGTCCCCTAATCATACTCCCTACATTGGAAAATCAAATACGAGAGCACTGGATAGAACATTACTAAAGGGACTGAAAGTTCTAATTCAAGTAAAAACCTATTATTATACTCTAATAATCCCACAGTGCAACTCAGTAGGTAGAGTACAAAGTACCTTCACTACTTTGAAGTCTTAGGCACCCAAGGACATTATTCAAAACTATTTATCTTGGCAATATTAGAATAAAACAAAAAAGAATTTCTTATTTTCCAAGTAGTACTTGATGTCTTGTGAGCTGGTTAGTTCTGGACGCCCCCTATTGTTAAAATTTCATCACCAGCACACTTAATTTAACCTGATAATATATTGATAAGCCAAACTAAGTATTGGATGATAACTGCAATGAGGAACTTTGGAAAGGGCTAAAACACGTTGACATTCATAAAATTACCACGTACTGTATTAATATAGTTTTATTCATTCTAAATTAACATTCATAATATAAATTAACATCTAAATTCATTCTTAACTCTAATTTTCTCAGGGACCTAAATTTTGCACAATGCTGTATATTCCCTATCTGAGAGAGAATATCAATAACGTCACATGTGACAATCTGTTTACTGTGACATACAAATACGCAAACCTATGCAATTTTCCAATGAATTTTTGAATGTAGAATAGTTATTACTGGGACTATTTCTAAACATGTGAGTCCTAAAAGTCATTCTAAACAATCACCAGCGCAGAGAAGACGACACTCTTGGTTTTATCCACTCCAGGGGCTCCTAAGGACACAATTTGTTTGCTTGTTTGCTCCTTGCTCAGACCCTCAGTGCCTTCTAGGCCCTCAGAAAAGCCTTGATGAGAAATGCATGTCTAATTTTAACTCATTTTTGCTTCATAGAATGCTTGTTGTATTCAAGTACTGTAGTAATCGTTCTAATTCATTGTTAAGTTTGGTTAGAAACAACATTGAAGATCTCAAAAGTGCCCAAGAAAAATCATCCAATCAGTATTGTTTTCTCTGTGGTATCTAGGTAGATACGGCCCAGTGAGCTCTCCCATTGGTTAGGACTTCAGGAGCTGGACTGAAAGTCTTATTGCAGCATGCAGAAGTTTGG